TTTTCTTGTACATAACCAATCTCTACACATAATACAGTACGTATGTAATGTAGAGTGCCTATCCAGCGTTTGCTAATCAAGAATTAGGACTCTACGATTATTGCTCCCGCCGCTTATTAAGCCCAATTTTATCTAAGCCCGAGGTGGGCTTAATAGCCGGCGACCACTGTAATCCTAAAGCATGTGGAAGTTACCTCCTCCTTTAAACCAAATGTTTGAACCTTTATAGACTTTATTTGAATTGTTCTGTACAAACTGTTCTCTGTCCAAGCAGTGGAAAATTTTATTTTACGAGTAGGAATTCTAGATATCAAAGCCTTCTGTAGTATCAGAAGGTGGACCTGACCCCGAAGTGACGTTTAAACTGATTTACAAATTATTAATGACCTTGACATATTTTATGACAGTTGCTTGAGCAATGCAAATGTTGCCAGGCCAATAGGAGCTGGTGGATTATCACTGACGAGTCCTTCGTCGCACAAACGTTTTCGACGGATGAATACTCTCTCGAAAAACTGTTTTGACAGTGATCAATGGGCTGTATGTTTTTGATAGTAGTTATATAATCTCCTCTTGTCCTGAAACTGACAAATTTTACCTTAATTATTTAACTTATCATACCATATTTTTGGTGCCTTTCTTCCCAGAAATTAACATTTTAATAATCTGTCTTTAGCTGCTTTTTTTTCAAACCACATGACCTGGCCTGCATTCCTGACTATATACTTATCTCACAAAGTGAATTTGCATTTCACTACCATTGAATCCGCAGTGTATTTATGGCACTCGTTTGTTCGGTTTGCAAGTTTTGTTTATCCACTTATTAGTTCATCCGTCGCAATGCCCTCGTTTATTCTCCTCTATTGTTCATATGCTAATATATAAGCATATACGCAATATAGAATAATAGTCAGGATCCTCCACTCATAACTGGTCGGGAAACGACTTATGCTCCTTTTATACATTTTTTTCACTTTTCCTTGTAAACTGGTTGCAATGTTTCTGTGCTTCAAATTGGATCGAGTTTGTGAACGCATTTATCGCATACGAATTTTTTTATTAGGCCTGTCACTCCAGATGTCTTTTTTTCTCACCAAAATAAAATATTCCGAATTTTTAGTACAATCCTTTGTTACTGCAAAGATATTTGATTCTAATCATTTTCTTGCTTGATGTGTTTTGGCATGGTAACCTTTTTTAGCTATCCGCGATTCTTACACTACCAGTCTATGCTCAGTCGTTTTCTTCGGTTACATATAGTCAGGAAATTGCGAATTCAGCCTCTGTACACAAGTCATGATCGTTTCCTTTATCCTTGACTATACGGGAATGACATCGACTGGTCTGTTGTGCTTGCTGAATTAAATACGGACGTCCCGTTCTGACTTGAAATTATTTGTCCGCTCCAACCTTAGGACAACATTTAACCACGAGCTTACATCCGGTGTTCTGTGATTGGCGAATATTCAACTTCGCAAAAAAGGATGTTCAATAAGCATTGGCCTTTAGTTTAATTATATATTATATTCATGATATAATTTTTATACTTTGCTGTCATACATAAGGGTGCGCTAAGTAAAAACGTTTACTGACCGCTGTTTACTCAGTTCCTCCGAATAGAGAACTTCAACATTTTGGCCAAGTTTCTCAAGCGTCTACAAAATGTGCTGTCAATAAAAAAGCACTTAAGTGGCATTGTTAAGAAAACTTTCCCGCAAGAAATAACCTCTGATTACTTAGCATAAAATTTAACATTCTTAAAAAAATTAATCAGCAGAAATAGGCGCACCCTAGTTCATGCCCCATTCTTTGGATTTGCCTCCTGAAATCACAGAGCCGACTCCAGTCATAGTGTCTACTGTGTATCTGACAGTTTTTTCAGACCCATTTTCTCAGCGTAATGTCTGTTGCTCTCCTCTTTTCAAAACAAAAGATAAAGAAAAGATCAGCTTATCTACTTAATTCAACTTGACCCA